CAGGGTTACCCCACCACCCCACTCCGCAGCCACACTCAGAAATGCAGGGCAATCTAAGCGGCAATCACGACCCATAACATCATTTTAATAAATCTTAGTGTACATTATCTTTATACATTCCCCGAACTGGGTAAGAATGCACGAGAGATTTGTTCTACTCTGAGATCGGCTACCGAGTCAATGTAAGGGTCTGTTTGTATTTACATGATTGATGGAACAACTCCAAAGGAGTCATGAATCTCTCAAGTCAAGTGTCCATATTGCATTAAATGCAGGTTCATTTTTAAGTGCTACTGTAGAAACAATTCAGGAGAGTCTGTCAAAACTTTAAGGGCCAGATTTTTGATTTGCATATGTAAATTAGGGCAGTTATGGACACATTGCCTTAGAAATTAGACCTGACACTGGCTGCTCAAATGCCTACCAGGCAACTCACACCCACAGACACCTATTAGCCTGCACAATTGCACCTGCAATAGCCAGTGCTCCTTTTTGCTTGTGCATTTGCACAGGTGCAGCTCTGAGTGTCTGGTGTGAAGGACAAAAAGGAAATTCAGAGCTAAGGTGGAGAAGCTGGTTTTAGCCTGTGCCCACGCACCAATGACCAGAGAAAGAAACCCCTTGCCAGCATTCCACAGCCTTAGCAATGGTGTGAGACCAAAGTTAATTCTCCCTCCTGCTGGGGTAGAAAGAGGCACAGCCCCTCAACCACAGGTAAAGAGCTACATTGGATAAGCTGTACAAACGAGGCAGGCTCAAACGAATGCTACTAACATTCCAGAGGCCCTCTCACTCCGATGTATACCTCGGTATGGTTCATGCTAGGACGATTGGGTAGGAAGGGAAGGAGAAGTGCCCAGAACTGCTTTCTGATCCACATAGATTCATGCAACTTGATAGGATAGGGATTAGTCCCATGAGTGACACAACCTGCTGCTCTGAGCCACTGAGGGACACCACTGTTCACATGCAGCTCAGGAAGGGAATGACGGGAAGGCTGAAGTCGGAGCAGCAGCAACAAAACTGCAACAGGAGGGAATAAGTTTCCTGTTATCAATGAAATCAGCCAAGAAGTGAGTCTTTCCCACGAAAGCAGCACAAAATCATCCCACTCCACTGTCAAAGGTGGAAAGGGGGAGAACCCGCGAGACAAGGAGTCGTCCCACCAATGGAGACGCCCTGATGGGGGTTGAAAGACGCAACCTTTAACAGTCTTTCTCCCCTCCAAAAGGGATTGGGACGAAGGACACAGATTTCACTTGGAGCCAAGCCTTTCCTTATACCCCCCTCCCCCACAATCTGCCCCCAAAAGAAGCTGTTGGGGAGATCGCTTCTCTAATAGCTGACAAGTGATAAATAGCAGGAGAGATGTTAGAAAGGCACAGAGTTATCCATCAGCTGCCTCGTGGCTGCGGTTCTTCCAGCCCCTGATCCCAGGCTCAGGACAAAGAGATGGAGGAAACTGGAAAAGGAAGGCAGTTCTCTTGATATGTTACACCTCGACTCCTTCTTCGTTCAGTTGGGGATTCCTGTGTCTCTTCCTACCCAAGACTAATGATAACAAAAGTGTCGGGAAAACTTGTGATGCGGTGGATAAGAGATAGAGAGCCCGAACCATAATCCTTCTGCTGCACAGTTACCTACTGCCTGACCTACAGTCACCTACCGGGTCTCTGAGGCAAGCAGCTCCTTTGCTTTTGCTTTTGAAGCAGAACACTGCCAGGTAGGAGATGGTGGTTGGAATTCTGGACTCCTTCCCACCTACCTGCACCTTCCAGTAGAGCTCAGATAGCTATGTTAAGAGTAGCTACGGGAAATTAAGAGCAAAAGCTTTCTGAGATGGTGGCACTAGAAGAGAAATCCGTGTTAGGTAGGGGAAAGAATACAAGAACCCTTCAGTACAGGGACAGGGGAACCCATTAGAGACAGAAGTCTACAGGGGCACTGAAAAATAAACAAAACGTTCCCCGGGGAAGTGTCAGAAAAGCTGCTGAGAGGCATCAGAATGAACCACAGCACCGCGGAATTCCTAACTGCTTCATTTACGCTGCACAGGGGGAAATACCACATCACAGGCACTGGCCTAGCCAGAAATTACATTTCACAGCGGCTGCCATCCAGCAAGCGTGTGGAGGTGAAGGTCAGAAGTTAACCATATTTAGAGGATTTTTAGTTCTTTAAAATGAGAACTTTTAAAAAGTCTTAAAATGAGCTAAAACTGCATAAGATTCTCCTCCAATCTGAACTGGATTTGTCTGGAGTTCCATACTGGGTCCCTATAAAGGGAGCTATGATTCCCCCTTGGCTTCTAGTCAGATTCGGACTAGAGTCCAAGAAGGTCATGGGAGCAGCGAGCTTTGGGAGACAGCACGAGGGTACCTGTGGAGCTGTTTGCAGTGGAAATCCCCTCTCTTACTGTTGAATCCCACTTTGATTCCCAAACCAAGGGCAGAGCTACCTCGGGTCTGTTTTTCCATCAAGGCTGCATTATGAGGAAGGGCCCTGGAGGGGGGGCAAAACACACATTATTAGTCACTTTTGAGCCACGCAATAAATTGGCAGCAAATTTGCAGGTGGGGGTGTTGGGTTTTTGGGGGGTGATCAAGTCTTCAAATTATTAGATTGGGCCGGTTGCAGGAAAGATTGAACATGACACTTCACTGAAGGGTTTGCCTTCTGTAGGGATGCGCCTATGGCTAGAGCAGAGAGCATGTATATATTATATCTGCTATGTCGATTAATTACATGTTCCTCAACGTTGGCCTCTAAGGAATTTTGCTCTGATAAATGCGAGCATGCTCATTTCCCTCCTGTGTAGGTTCCCTCCCACTAGGCAGAGCTGTGTCGCAGACTACATAGAAAGTACTGCCAGGGAGCAGTGTGGGGATTCTGTTTATATTCTAACAGGGATGTGTAGATTTTGGCAAAAGGGCCTTATTGAAAAGTGCATGCTTTTGTTCAGAGGTACCAGAGGCCGGGGTTCTGTCCTTGGCAGGAGAGAGCAGAAACCTTCTTTGCAATCCCTCCTCTGTCCACCAGGGGCCGCCTGTCAAGTAGTCATCGACTGAATGTTTTTGAGCATTTCATCGAAGGCCTCTCGGGACGGCGCCTCGGCGTTCTGGAAAGAGACCTTGATCCGGCTGTAGAGGCTGAAGGATTTCAGCTCCAGCCAGATGAACCCGAAACGATCGTCATCGAATAGAATGAAGATGCCCGGCGTTCGTTCAGGGCTGGTGAAGCCATGTCCGGCAATGAGCCCCGTGCCATAAAAACTACAGAAAGGGAAAGAAGCAGGGAAAAAAAACAACATGAAAAAGCCTCTGACTGCACCATTGTGGCAGCTTAAGATGAATTTACTGTATCAGAGCAAACCTGAGGTCCATCTAGAGCGGCCACCAGTGGCTAAGACCTGATGGTTCAGAGGAAAATCAAATGACCCCAGAATGCACCTGAGTAGATATGCCATGCTGCACAAAGGGGGGAGTTTTACCTGCTGACTTTGAAGCAATCAATCAGCTCGCGGCCTGCAGCATGAAGTGCGATTGCCTCCATCTTCACAAGCATGAGAACAATGCTACAAACACTCACCTGCTCCTTTAAGTGCAGCTACAGTATCTGACTACGCTAAGGATCGGTACATGGGAGCTAACCTAACATCCCTGCACATGAGGATTTGACTTCCGTTTCAAGGATCAAACCAGACGATACAAAGGCTGGTTGGCCTGGGGCATGAGACCCGTGTAACTAGGCCACATCCTGGCTGTGGAGGAAAGGTGGGTAAAGTTCAGTGCAAAGCCCTTAGCACGCAATGGAAAGGGCACATCTGAACAGTGTGTTGCTTCTAGTTTGGAATTGGGCCTTTGTGGATTCCTGGAATGACCCGCTGCGATCGTTAGCACAGATGTTTGGCTGAGGGTCGTTTCTGTTTAGATCCAGATTCTTTCCCCCACCCCTTCATTTAGCAAGGTGCCTCACTGAAGACAGCACCCCCACGATCTGAAAAGAAAGGGCTCAATCATGCTGCAAGGTGCTCTGCATCCCCACAGCTCCCATTCATTGAGGGTGCTGAGCACTTTGCAGGATTGGGCCCAAAGCGCACAAGCCCTGAAGCTGGGTCAGCGGGAAAGAGCAGCACATTCCCATGGTCTCGGGAGACAAGTGTGATGCACGGGTAGGACCCAGCTAGGGAGGATCCTGAGAAACAGGGAGAAAAGGGGCAAGTGGCTCATGGAGAAACAGAGCAATAAAGGGAAAATACAGGAGGGATTATGCGATCGGGGCAGGATCCGCAGGGGAGGTGAGATAGGGACACAAGCCCCCCCACCGCTCGCTATCTGCCCGGAGATAAAAGGAGCCAAGGAGATTGCACTAGATGGAGCCGGAGAGGACAGAGTACTGATAAGAGATGGTAAGCTCAGACTGAGCGTTGGGGCAGGGGGGTGAAGATCACAACACATGCTTTGGGTGTCAGTGCAGAAAGGCTCTGGGGGGTTTTCACCCCTATATTTTCCCCTTGGGTTCTGGTTGGATGTCCCGTCCGGGCAGGGGAGGGGCCATGAGGGAGCAGTGCTAATAACGGGGCCTCTTTCCTGAGCAGGTCTCAGCTGCTTGCATGGGGCAGGGCGCGTAGGAAAGGCTGATTACCACATCCGGCAGGTCCGGGGATAATCCTCGTTCCTGGAGATGACTCCCACGGGCAGCACGAAAGGCTGCGAGTTTGGCGCCGACTCCTGGGCGGCTGCTGCTCCCGCAGCCTCAGTCCCCTCAGCCCCAGCATCGTCCCTCTGCGCAGGCGGCTCTGCTTGCTGCGAGTCACCCTGTCGGGAGTGGCCCTCCTCTTCGTCCTGCCCTTCCTCCTCCTCCTGCTGCTGCTGCTCCCGGCGCACCTGCTCCTGCACCTCCAGGACGATGCGGGAGAGCTCATTGAAGTTGCGCAGGTTCTCAATGTCAGGGAGCTGGATGGGGTGCGCCAGGTCGATCTCCACCGTCTGCTGGCCAGCTGGGATATTGGGATCTCCCTGCAGCAAGGAACAGAAACCACGCTTCAGGACACTGCGGAACAGAGCTCATGCCAAAAGCTCAGACACCTGTACCGCTGCAGCTGGCTAACAAGTTTCCTCCACCCTGGCAATGCCCAGTTCCACAGCAGCACCCCCTGCTTGTCAATTCAAAGGTCCCACCCAAATCCCAGCAGCACGAGCCCCTGGAGCTGCCTGCATCACCCCCCTTGCACCTGGGATACGGCACCAAGGCCCGACCTGTATGTGGAGACTTGTTCAGAGCAGATGGGACAAACTGAGTGGCTGGTGACGTGGCAGGGTAGCCCTGCAAAGTTGAAGGGGACAGTCAATTTCAGAATGGCTTTCAATCACGACCACTCCCTGCCGGGGGAAGGAAGGAGAGTCTATCAGCCCGGTCTCAGTGCATGGCTGCTAGTGTTTGGGAGGGCGGGGGGAGGGGGGGGCGGGAATGAGAATCTCAGATACAGGTAATCTGCTCATAATCAGATGTTCCCACAGAATGGACTGGGGGTAGGGGGGAAGGTAGTCTGGATTGAAAAGCATTTCACAGGCCAGCAGAAGCTCTGCACCGTTCGCGGCTGTGCAGGCAGAAGACAAGACAGATAGTAGCTCGGCATTCTGGAAAATCCTGGCATTGGACTATTTGCCTAGATGGCATTTCCCCAAAGGCTGAGAACAGCCAGGCTAACGAGTGTCCTCACCCCAGGAAATTGTACATTCTCCTACAGAACAATGAATTTGTTCCCACCAATCCCCCAGGTAAATTGGCTCTGCTGTAACAAAGTTATTATACCCTCCTCTAAGTTACTTATCTGACCCCAATCACCATAGTGTCTTACTCTCACAGCATCCCAGTGCTATTATCCCCATTTTATAGATAGGAAACTGAGGAACAAAGTCAGTGTAATGCCCAGGCCCCTAAACCCCAGCAAAATCAATGGAAGCTAGGAGCCCAAATACCTTTGAGAATCTGGGCCTTAGTGACTTGCCCAAGGTCACACAGGCCATCTGGCCGAGCAGGTAATGGAACCAGGTCTCCCAGCTGCTAGGCTTGTGCCCTAACCACTGCATCCTCCTTTCCCTACCCCCGGCGATCACCTCTCACACAGATCCCCGACGCACAGGAGAGTGAGAAGGGCTGCAGTTTACTACCCTGATTCCACGGCAGTTGGAACCCGTCGGGGAGCTCGGGAGAGAGAAAAAAACCACTCACGGTTATTTTAGTCCCTTTGGCTTTCTTCCCATGAAAACTCAGCATGACAATCTCCAAGCCGTGGCTCCCGTAAGTTCCCTTGAAGAGACCTGGGTTTAAGAGGTCAGCAGGGCTGCTAGGAGGGAGGTAGATGCGTCGGTACGTCAAGCAGTTGCTGTGGAACAGAAGCTGGTCAGGCAGTTTACAAGCGAACGCCGCGATATTGATTCTTCGCCAAGAACTTCGGCTACCCTCCACTCCCCTTGCCTGCCTTGCATCTTCTAGAGAGACTCTTTAACAAAAGGGGCAAGATCTTCACTTTCTGGCATTTTAAAAAGCACTCCAGATTTTGTATAGCACACATCCCCCTACGCCACCTCTCCCAACCCCCCTTTACCACCTCCAAAGAGTCCGTCTGGCTAAGAGATCTGTCAAATCGGCAAAGGCTGTGCTTATATCTAAGCTACAGCATGTCAACCCACCCCTCTTTCTGGCGGCACTGGAGAACCCCGGGTGAGTGGAGCCTATTTAAATATCTGTTAAAGCAATTAACTTCGGATAGCTCTGAAAATGACATTTACTGCTAGTTGTTACGTTCCCAGAAGCTGGGATTGTGTAATTTGTGTCTAGTGCGGTATAAAGCATATGTCCTGCTAAAAAATATAATCAGCAGATGGCCTGTAGGGATGGTTGATAGTCACACACCATTTTAAAATTCAATAAGATACATTTATTCATGTCTGAACATTGCTGACATCAGATCAGACCTTTTGGAAGCCTTCTCAAACCATTGCTAGCTTTGAACACTCAGCAGCTGTTGCACATCCTCTTTATCTCCTCACTGGTTGTCCCCTATGACGACGACCCATCACCATTCCTTCCATGATCATTTTCTCAGGGTTATTTTAATTCTCCATGCCTGACATAACCCAAGTACAGAAGTTTGCGCCTGTTGATTTCCAAGAGGAGGGGCGGCTTCTCTCCAAGAGGATTTCTATAATAAACATTTGTTTTCTCCATCCGGAAGATATGCAAGAGTCTTCGCCAGCACCATATCTCAAAAGCTTCCATTTTCTGTCGGCAACGTTAGTTTCCCACGATTCACATCCATAGGTCGCTATTGAGAAAATTAAGCTTTTCACCAGTTAAACCTTCGTATATTGAGACACCATGGTTTTTCCAAACTTTTGTGGGAGGCCATTGCTGATGAGCTGTTCCTCGTCTTCTGATTTCTTTGCAACAGCCTTCTTGATTGGATATGTATGATCCCAGATATGTATCTAGATTAATTCATCGAGTGCCTCTACAACTTGACTTAATCGCGCTGTCCACGTGCATTCCATTTTTGTCAATCATGTCAATGTGCGTGCATTTCATTTTCATGTCATTCAGGGACAGTCTATATTAAAAACAGACTCCAACAGTCCTTGCATTCCCTCAGTGGTTGTAGCAAAGAGCACTGTCTCATCACCTCAGTGGGAGATTATACTTCCTGCACTTTTCAATGATGCGATAGATGTTCACGATTTGATCATGCGTGCCTCATCCCTCTCTGAAACCATCCTGTTGTGATGGAAATTCTGCTTTTATTCTTTGCTTTGTGCAATCCTGGATTATCTAGAGCAAAATTTAGCTTGTGTACGATAACAAGATGATACTATTCTTATTACGCTGTTATGTAATCTTTCTTTAATAAGGGCAGAAAGATTGATTCCCTTTGTCCAGTTGTCTGGCCAATCCACACAGCATTGCAAATTTACCACGAGATCAATACCAAGCACTCTGTCAGGCTTTCCATGGAAAGGATCCAGTATTTCTGTTTACAAGAGCTCTGTGATCTGTACAAGTCTGGCTCATAATAATTTTCTTAATTTAATCAACAAACTCAATAAAGTGTCTTACTTTTCTAAAAAAACAAAACAAAACAAACCCCGCAGTCACCAATCACTTCAACAGTTCTGCTGGTACGCTATCTACCCCTGGTGCTTTCCCTGGCTTCGCTTTCACATTAGCATGCACGATTTGTTCTCCCAGGATCGATGGCTCCACCTCTATACTCCTTTCTGTTGTCCTGTATTACGAGTGGCTCTGAGGAGGGATACAGATTGGCACAATAATCTCTGCACTGGCATTTGATAACATCACCTTCAGTGAGGGTTCCACCATCATGAGCTCTTATTGGGTCTGATGACAGGGAAAATTTTTTGGTAAGTCTAACCACTGTAAACATCTCTGTTGTATTCCTCTTTGTGACTCTCAACCTCTGTGCATTTTGTCCTTCTGTATTTGCTCTTGTCTCAGCTAATCTATTTTGGAGGCGTCTGCTCAGTTCTTTGTACTTGCACCTTCATTTTTCAGTCTCTAAGCCGGGGGTAGGCAACCCATAGCACGCGTGCCAAAGGCAGCATGCAAGCGGATTTTCAGTGGCACTCACACTGCCCAGGTCCTGGCCACCAGTCCAGGGGGGGCTCTGCATTTTAATTTAATTTTAAATGAAACTTCTTAAACATTTTAAGAACCTTATTTACTTTATATACAACAATAATTGAGTTATATATTATAGACTTATAGAAAGAGACCTTCTAAAAAGGTTAAAATTTATTACTGGCATGCGAAACCTTAAATTAGAGTGAATAGATGAAGACTCGGCACACCACTTCTGAAAGGTTGCCGACCTCTGCTCTAAGCCATTCTTTTTCACTCTACATTGTTATTCTGCCAGCTCAAACATCATCTCAGTCAGCCATGCTACGATCCAATGCTGATTTTTCAGAATGTGCACTTTGGCAACTTTGAGCATGAGTTTTCATTTTATTCCAAAGTGCGTTTGGGGTGTTCTCCTCTTTCTCCTGTGCCAATGCCACAAAGCTGTACTAGACAGAAGTCCCGTAGTTTTCGTTGATTTTGGACAGATCCAAACGTAGTGGACCTACCAAACGTCTGATCTTTCAAGTTTTCATTTTATGTTTGAGGCTAACAACTGCCTGCCTGACCCACACGGTCTGCACTCGGGAAAGTCTTTATCCATTAGACCGTGACGCTTCCCAGGGGTTTCCAGGGCTGAGGCACCTTGCTACCACCTGCCCTTGTCTGTGCCTGCTGTGGGTCAGTTCCAACACCATCAGCCTCTGACAACACAAGCATTGCCCTCCATAGGCACTACTCTCTCTTCACAGGTCAACGAGAGACATCCACCAACCCTTGAGTCCCCCAGGCATCTCCCTGCAGTGCCCCACCCTTGATGCACTGGACACTTACAGAATTCTTGGTTTCAGAGTAGCAGCCGTGTTAGTCTGTATCCGCAAAAAGAAGAACAGGAGGACTTGTGGCACCTTAGAGACTAACAAATTTATTAGAGCATAAGCTTTCGTGGACTACAGCCCACTTCTTCGGATGCATATATATGCATATATATG